GAAAATATACCATATCATGTAAATCAAAGACTCAGAATAGTCTCATGACGGTTTTGAACTGTGCTGAAAATAAGTTTAATAAAAATTTGCAAGATATACTCTAAGTTTGTCTTGGAAAGGCTTAAGGTCAGACGCTTATGTCCAAGGAAATAATTGATGGTTGATAAGAAATAAAGAAATGTTTAAAAATCTTTAAATATTAAGGTCGGATGACATGATCCAAAAATATATGTTTTGTATACCTTGGTATTGTAGCAATGATTATTCATAATTGTCATACTCTTCTGAATTTATATTGTTTTCAGTATGATTTTTGAAAATTAGTAAACACAAATTTGTGACATTGGCAATTCAAAAGATTACACACAAGGATTGCATAAGAAAAATATCGCCCTCTGACAATTTGTTCAAATATTTGGTAAGGTACCTCAATTTTTTGTGAGAAAATTTCAATGAGTAATTTTTGAGAAAAATTATATATTTTCGAGAAACGTGTCTTCTGACCTTAAGAATATCATTTTCGCTTCATGAGAAATCGTAGACTTTTCTGTACATCTGCTTATACCGGGTATGTACATTAAAGGTCATTTACTTAATTTATTCTAAACAGATCCTGATCTTCGAACAGCATGCTCCAGGTAGTTCTATTAGTTTTCTTGATTCACCGCTCCTAGGAGAGAAAGTGGAAACAAAGGAGGCAGACTCTGCTTGTTACCCCACGGAGACAGATATTGGATAGTCTTAATGTATTGTTTATACATAAGAACAATTCAAATGTGAATGTATTAATCTGTTGGCTGATTATACTTTGTTTGTCAAGATTACAGGTATAATTTAATGTAATCAGATTGAATTATGTGTATTTTTCCCACTATTTCTTTTTTTAAAAAACCTAGTTAAAAAGTCATAATAAAGTGAAATCAGTGAAAATATTGATATACTAGTACGTTATTCATGTACACTCTGTATTTGTATCATAATATATGACTGTACATGTACTAGTTTTCACGAAAACATTAAAGAAAGAATGATTATGCATTACAATTTTAAGCATGTTTTTCTTTTTTTCTATATTCAATTAGGACTTTATTTTTCTACAAGCAGTTTTTCAGATTTTTTTTAACTGCAAAATTTCAGCCTCGCATCTCATTCTCTGTTGCTTGTCATTGTTGTTTTATTATAACCCTTTCATAGGAATAAATATAATACTTTTAATTGGTAGTCCTTTGGATCAGAGTATGCAGCAAAAGTCGAAGGACATAAAAAAACCTTTTTCATCTAATAATAAATTATGACAACTTGTCTAGATAAGAACACCATGGATCATAAACTATTTAAAACTCTAAAGATATTAAGAAGTCTCCCCAAACGATGTTTTTAAAATTTGTACTTGTATGTACAAATTTTGAAAATGACTTAAAAGTATTCTTATTTGAGAAGGATGTTACCTGTAGATATTTTGTGTTAAATGTACATTCCATTTCCGCCACATCTACGCAGAAATCTTTTGCATTTGTACTGAGTTCTGCATGTAATCTACATGACACATTCAGTTTATATCGCTGTACGAAAACTCGATACACCATGCCGTCTGTTAGGTAAGTGTTGAGGCTTTGTTGTTAACAATATCAAGCTTATATAATTCATACAAAATGGTTTTAAAAAAGAAAACCATTATTTTTCTTAATTAGAATTATTGTTTCATAGAATTGTTTGATCCTTGAAGAGGTTGGATCCTGACTTTAAAGTCATATACTTTTTTGTCATTAAGGCAAGGAACGACAATCTGCCAATTCAAAATTCTTGCCACTGCTACCATTATAAATTCATAAAAAAAATTGCACGTTGAGAGATTTTTTTGATTAAGTAAAAGATGCAATACTCTACTTGAAAATGAGTAAGTGCATTGCAACATAAGCTTTATTGTTGGCACATGAATTGAACAATTCTAATGCAAAAATTGATTGCAACACTCTTGTTTATACGAATATGAATTGTGAATTGTAATTACATGTATATGTTCTATCTAGAAAACACCAAAGTAAAATATTTGATTATTTTAATTACATTTTGGCTCCGAAGGAGATGGGAATATATAGCGTTTTCCACTTGTTTGTCTGTTAGTCTGTCTGTGTTTATGTATGTCCTTTCAGAAGAAATTTTCGTCGCAGTTTTCTCATCAAGTAATAAACATTACAGATGCTTGAAATTTTAACAGACGCCTTTTTCTTCATGTCACATGCTGATGTTCATTTTGTATGAATCCGATGTCAATTTTCTGTTTTTCCATGTCTTTATCACAGTTTTCTCAGTAACTACTCATTTTATGTTTATTTCAAATCTTAGCAAACTCTTTGTTTAGATATTCCGTAAAGTAGGATTCATTGTTAAATGAATTTGATTTCAACTTTCTGTTTATCCTTGTATTTTTCAGTAACAAAGAATCTTTATTGCAGTTTTCGAAGCAAATACTCATAGTTCTTGCTTGAACGTAACATGTAGGTACACTTTTTGTTTAGCCATGCCATATGGTGGTATTTATGAAAGCAAGTCACTATTCACATCAAAGTTGAGTTATAACTACTGAACACCTAAACAGTAAAATCATTGATTCTTTGTTAATGTAGCTAACTTATTAAAATACAATTTACTACATTATTCATTGAGTTAATTTTTTTTATATTCTTCAGAAATATTTTACAATTGCATAATTTTAGATTATAAACAACCTAAAGGTGATGTAAAGATTTTTGTTTGTTGTGTATTTTTAAAGGCTTTTCCATCGATTTGCAATGAATAATGATCAATCAATTTTGAAAAATTCAAACATTTGTCATGTACATTCTTAGTTTTCAAAACAAGTAAAAAGAATGGGCTATATTATTCCAACTATTGTTTTTTTTTCTTTTAAAAATTTTCGAAAAGTCACGTCATAAATTTGATTAAGTCTTTATGAAAGATTATTGTATATAATGTTTTTAGAGTCGATCAAGCTATATCTCTTTTTTAATACGATTTAAAAAAAATTGTAGGGTTTACATGTAGGTGATGAATTAGGTTATTGTAAGAAACAGCAAAACATTGTTTTAACCGATTGCACAATATTTAATCACGAACAGCCTGACAAATTGTCTTTATAGTTACAGAATTTGCCCTTGGAGTCCCATCCTGTATTCCCTACACATTGCTTGGAGGTTGGTTTTCCCCAGGAACACATGTAAAACTTCGTACAGTTGTCTGGATCGGCAAAATAGCCAAACGTCGCAGGACAGGTAAAATTTCCAGATTCTAGAGTTAAATTAAGTTACATTATATGGAATCACTGTCACAGTGATGTAATTAATATCAAAAATGCTGTAATATGTGTTCGATAAATTTTCTTCCACATTTTAATACTTGTTAAGCAATGTCAATCTAATTTCAAAATATCTACAACTGCTTGATAAATTTTTATGACCATTGATAAAATGAAAGTTTGATTAAAGTTATTTACTCGCTACAAGTACATGTAGCCTATATCCATTAAATGGTTTTCCGACATGCAGTATGAAAAATGATCTAGCGAATTTATTATAATAATAATCAAACTATTATAATTAAAAACATGTTCTAGAGTATGTTCTCTTACGATGTTCTCAATGTCAAAGTCACATGACGGTGTAGAAATTTACCTGCTTTCACAGACTGTAACTTGATTTTACATCCAACAGTGTCTGCTCGCACACAAGTTGCTTTTTTATCACTCCAAGCTGTTCCAAATGGACATTGCATGGTAACGTTAGCACCATTATCACAAACAAAGTATTTGGTACAATCATTTTCATCGGGGGATGTGTCGCCTGTTTTGCAACCTGAAAGATTAACATTACAAAAGTTTATTTATAAATAATACAAAACTTATGTCCATATGGTTTTGGTTACTCTGAGCAAAGTTCTTCAAAGTTTCTGTTTTTATCTAAATGTATTATCTATATAAATATCTTTTTATTACAATTATCAAAATGAAGAATAACATACCCCCCTTTTTTCCACCTGTGCAACACACCACCAGACTATGAAATAGAATGTTGTTTCAATATTTATTTATTATTATTCTGTCACTATTTTATTGCATATCAAAAACAACTTCACTTCAGACACAAATCAATAAACAAAAATACATTATTTGCATTATATATTATACATTATACATTTTTGCTTTTCAATTTCCTTCAGTTACAGAAAACAATTTGAAATATTAAGATAAATGCAATGCAGGATTGGTGTCTTTCGCCTCACGGAATTAATGTTACTGCGTTTCTTTCTGGTACACAATTTCTGTTCATCCACATATCTTGAACCTCTCACATGCTTTATTTACATGTTATAATCTTTTTAACTGCCATTGAAAATGATAAAAGTTTTAGTAGCATTTTTAAAATCATTTGAACCTTGTTTAAATGCTGAATTCCATCTTTTTGTGTAGTTGTTATATATTATTTGAGAGTAGGTGACAATAAGGATTTTCCAATCTTCCACTAATATTGTGTCTAGCTCTGACGAACTATTGAAAAGTTTGATAACCTGGCCTAACACTGGCCTTCACTTTGGAAAAAAATATTAAGGTGAAACAATAAACATTATAAAGATAGAAAGGTTGGCTGTGCTGGAAATACAAGCCTTTCATTTCAGGTCCTCTGAAATCCGATTGATCTTCATGTGTGCACATTGAGTTTATATACTTTATATATTTTTTATGAAGAAGCTCAGAATATATGACTGTTATATATTCTAAGTACTTTTCTAATTTACCATATTCGTTTTGTATATGTTTTGGTTTTGTTAAATGTAGCGCCGAAAATGGACAACGCTGCATAATATGAATAAAAACATATTTATATAGATAGTATATTATAGAAACCATTTTTATCTTAAAAATTGTAAAATTGTTACTATTGAAAGATTTTCTTTTAATGTTTACTGTTTTAAACTATTTGATTTTGCAGAATAATGGTAAGGGCTAAGATGTAATTATAAATAGCACATATTAAATATGTTTACCTATATATAAATTACATTAATGAACTTACCTTAAAAGTACGATTGTATATAACCATGTAAATTGCATTTTTGAATTAAAACGTCCTTTCTGAAATACATAACATTTTGATATATCATAGATGCTTTTTCAAGTATACTGTATGATACAACATAAGGTGTGAAACCTAATTTTTAAAATAGATCATCCTCAGCCTTATCATTTAAATGGTATTTAGTATAGAGTTATGAGCTTAATTAACATATTCCAGCTCAAATCAGGAATATTTATTCCCTGATCATTCAAGCAAGGGCATAAAAGTCCCTGTGATGAATTCATAAAGCAGTTAATATTTTGCAAAATTAATAAAATAAATACTTTTAGTTTCCCAGTGTATAAGCTAAATGGTGAAAGAAATGCCAATCTATAAGAAATGAGTTAAATAGCAACTCAATTTATACTATCTAACCTGCGTTGTGGGCAGTTTTCGCTTTATAAACCGCGAAGCAGTTTATAGAAAAACGTAACAGCTCCAACCCAGATTGCTATTTTATTCATTTCTTATAATTCAATTTTTAACCATTGAGTATATAAAACATGATAGTTTCTACCTTAAAACGTCTTCAAATTGTTCATATTTTAAACGTTACGTCAAGTGAATTGATATGTTTTTGACACCAGTCATTATTACGTAGAAAACTCAGGTTATACAATTTAGATTAATTTTGTATCCAGACAAGTGACGCGTTAAAAGCAAAATTAAATAATACATAAATGACCAAAGCTACAGTTTCTTCGACTAAGCATAAAGTTAAATGATATTAAATTAAAAATGGATTACAAAAGTCAGGTAGACTGATGTCGATGAACGGAGTTTTACCCGACAAATATATAATCTACAGTATGATTTTTAAGCTTCAAAATTTTTTAAAATATACTGCCGAAGAATCGTCATAAAATTTTACCAAAATCAATAAAGAAGAAAAACATGTAAAATCAATCAGCACTTAAACATTGAATGAGGTGCTGTGCAGTTGATATGGCCAAGCTTAAATTTATTTTTAAAATATGAATAGAATTGCACATCAAATGACTTTTAATGCACGCCTGCTTTTTTCATGTTTTCTTAATGGAATTTCCAATTTAAAAAAAGGATGGCAAAAACATTTTATGAAACTTATTAAGTTTGATTTTCTGTAAAATAAAAAAAAAAACTGAAAAGAAAAAAAACTTTCGAAATGATAGTACTCACTTTCCTTCTTAATTAATGAGTTAAAGTCGTGGTAAACCCAATGAAACAGTATAACTGAAAGTCCGTTTCTACACTCTCAAGGTGTTTTCTTATTGATTTTGTCATTAGGCAGTAAAGCATTTGTTACATCGTACATGATGAAATTTAAAACGGATTTCAAATCATGCAAAATTTTTAACGTAACACTCTGCGCACGTCAAAGTATCTTTGTTGTTATTTTCCCCAGTCTCAAATTTATCATACTAAGATGAGAGCAAAATGCAGAACATTCGTTTAGTATTGATAAAAATTTGCCATGATTTAAAAAAATAAAGATTGATTAGTATTTCTACCCCATCCTAACCCTTCTCTCTCTGTCTTGTGTTTTAACATTGGTAAGATACACATTTAATTTTTATGACGTTTTATTATTAGTAAACTTAATTTTTAGCTCACCTCGACGAAGTCGAGATGAGCTTATGCTATACCCCCGGCGTTGGCGTCGGCGTCGGCGTCGGCGTTAGCGTCGGCGTCCCAGGTTAAAGTTTTAGGAGCAAGTCCATTCCCAAGTAACTGTAAGCCCTACCTGAACCAAACTTGCATGGATGATGCATCTAGGGATGTACACTACCAGACTTGCTTCGGATGCTGGATCTGATCTACATTTTCTAGATGAGTGACCTGGTTAAAGTTTTTGGAGCAGGTTAATGTTTTTGGAGCAGGTCCATTTCCAAGGAACTATAAGCCCTACCGGGACCAAATTTGCATGGATGATGCATCTAGGGATGTACACTACCAGACTTGCTTCGGATGCTGGATCTGACCTACATTTTCCAGATGAGTGACCAGGTTAAAGTTTTTGGAGCAGGTTAAAGTTTTTGGAGCAGGTCCATTCCCAAGGAATTATAAGCCCTACCCAGACCAAACTTGCATGGATGATGCATCTAGGGATGTACACTACCAGACTTGCTTCGGATGCTGGATCTGACCTACATTTTCCAGATGAGTGACCAGGTTAAAGTTTTTGGAGCAGGTCCATTCCACAGGAACTATAAGCCCTATTTGGACCAAACTTGCATGGATGATGCATCTAGGGATGTACACTACCAAACTTGCTTCGGATGCTGGATCTGATCTACATTTTCCAGATGAGTGACCAGGTTCAAGTTTTTGGAGCAGGTCCATTTCACAGAAACTATAAGCCCTATTTGGACCAAACTTGCATGGATGATGCATCTAGGGATGTACACTACCAGACTTGCTTCGGATGCTGGATCTGACCTACATTTTCATTCCCAAGTAACTATAAGCCCTATTTGGACCAAACTTGCATGGATGATGCATCTAGGGATGGACATTACCAGACTTGCTTCGGATGCTGGATCTGACCTATATTTTCATTCCCAAGTATCTATAAGCCCTAGCTAAACTAAACTTGCATGGATGATGTATCTAGGGATGGACACTACCAGACTTGCTTCGGATGCTGGATCTGACCTACATTTTATTCCCAAGTAACTATAAGCCCTAGCTAAACCAAACTTGCATGGATGATGCATCTAAGGATGGACACTATCAGACTTGCTTCGGATGCTGGATCTGACCTATATTTTCCATACAAGAGACTTGGTTAAAGTTTTGGGAACAGATCAATCCAAATGAACTTGAAGACCTTGATATCTGCATTATTAATAACAGTTATGAATATTTGTTTACACTATACATATACATATTTTTCACACTACAGGCTTAGAAATGTGTATATGCCATGTAAGGGGTTAAACACAACTTGCAAGAATATTGTTGTTGGGATGAATACTAAATATTAAGAAAATATGATGTGAGATTTGCATTACTTAAACTGATAACATTCGTCGAGGTGAGCTTCGTAATCTTTGATTACCTATGTTTGAGACAGCACCCACCGCATCGAAATAAATACATTTAATTTCTGAAGAAGTGGAATAATTTAAATGCCGGTTATCCTATGATTGAAATGTATTGGTTACAAGCGAATGATTTTGTCATCATTTAATTATTACTACAGACTGTGAAATATTAGAATAATGCAGATAGTTCTGAAAACATATGGTGCACGAAAACTTATTAGACATGGTTTGTGTCTTGCACTGTTACAGTAAGTATCTTTGATTTTGTCCAATTTTCTTCACTTATAATTATAAATACGGCTTTTTAAAAAAAATTATACAAGAACAAAACTAGAACAAAACTAAACAAACGCATTAATTATGCCGCTTTGTTTTATTTATAGCATTAACTATCCATTAATAAATATATAAAACAAGGGTAAAATAAGAAATTATAAAGAAAACACGAGACAGAACTATTTTTAATTTATATCTTAAAACTGGTTTTATTCAATATGCCAGAATGATAAGGGAAGTATTTACTTCCTAACATAGATTGATTGAGCAGCCGCTAACATATACTTACTATAATTTGATTTTAGTACTGCACGCGTCTTTAAACTATATGATTTGTAATAATGGAAGAAAATAAGAGACCTAACGAATTGTTTAAGTGTCAAAAATCAAATATTCTCCAATTATCTGGATAGATTGATTGTATAAGTATTGCTTTTACGTCTGATTTAATATGTTTTCACTCGTGAAATACATTATAATGGTTTCTGTTGAAAATAAAAATTTTCCTGATACATGTAATATTCATAGTATTATTCTTTAAATATGGACTGTAGTCACTTTAGTTTGATCATGTTTTGGACATACAAATGTAGCTGATGTTGAAAAAAATGTTATGCCATTTCAGGATTGCAACATGAAAAAAGTGTAGTGTTGCTGACGAAAGTTGGATTGTAAATACTGAAATACAATTAAGTCAAAAAATTAATTTCAAAACAATAGCTAAAATGCAATTTAAAATTTAAAAATGTTATGTAAATCACAAGCAGCATTAATGAGAGTCGAGAAGATCTGCTTACACAATAATGTCAGAAGTGCAGCATTTGATGTTTTGCTCCTCCGAATAAAAAAGAAACTTTTATCAGTATATCACTTTCTGTTTTTTTTTTCATTTTGGAAAATAAAGACAAAAATAACACTTTTATCAAATAAATCAATCAATTACAGGGTCTTTCTATGTTTCAAAAATATATTTCTATGGCTAGGAGTGTAATACATTTTTTTAAAGATTCAAGTTATATGATGAAAAGACTTTTATTCATTCTTAGAAGTATTCATTAAATAATTATAATAATGATCTACAGTGTATTTCTTTATTATGCTTGGTATTACTATGTTATAATGTTAAGTTGTACTTTTAAAATCCCTCCTTCTTTCAATTTTCTCAATTAAGATGTGTTTTATCTTTTTCTATTATTTTTATGAATGTTTAAATGAGCACGACTCTCTTGGTCAGGAGTGAAACAAATATGTTACGTTTAAAACTGATTCAATATGAATAATTACTAATGTAAAGAAGCAAAATGACGTGTAGATTATTTCGCTTCCTGTATTTCTCCCCTAAAGGAAAATAAACTATGAATTATGCTATATCTTCTAAATATATATTTCAGCTAGTTTTCTGACATACATGAGGCACATTCGAGATATAATGCAAAGTTTAAATACTCTCATCTGTTTTAATTATGAAGCAGTGGACTATAAATATTGCACAATTTAATTACCACTTCAACACTTTATGAATTTGTGTTTTTCATTGTTTTAATTCTAAATTTTGCAGAAGTCTAAACAGCTTTATAATTTTTAATGCTCTTCAACTATTTTTACTAAAAACAAATTGAAATCTTTTTTTTTTCAATTTCATCTTCTTCTCCAGAACTACAGAGACTATACCAGTTTCAACCAAACGTAGCACAAAGTATCCTTGGGTGAAGGGAATTCTCGTTTCTCCAAATCAAAGACCACCCTCTTCCAAGGTTAGATATTACAAAAAGGCAAAAAATTAATAGCATTATTGAAAAAATCTTAAGAACAAGGGGCCAGGAAAGATGAAACTCATGTGGGATCATCGTCTGATAGTGTAGATTCAAGTTTGTTCAAATAATTGCCCTCAGGTCTAGGGTGGGACCATAATTGACGAGTTTGACATTGGAATATATAGGAAAAATCCTTTTAAAATTTTCTTAAGAACAGCAAAGAAAAGATCAGTGATATTGCTGTGAAAGCATTCTCAGGCAGTGTAGATTCCAGTTTGTACAAATCATACCCCCGGGGATAGGATTGGGCCACGATGGATGGACAACATTTTACATGGGAATACTTAGTATAAAGGATTTTAAAAAATCTTCTTAAGAAAAGCAAAGCTATAATTTATCATATTAATATGGAATCATCTTAAGGTGTTTGTAGATTCAAATTCGTTCAAATCATGACCGCTGGGGATAGGGTTGGGCCACAATGGACGATCAAATTTTTACATAGGAATAGATAGAAAATATTTTTTAAAAATCCTCTAAAGAACAGCAAAGCAATTGTTGGTAAAATATTCATATGGAAGCATCCTCAATTATTGTATATTCAAATTTGTTTAAATAATGACCCCCAGGGGTAAGGTGGGGCCAAAATGAAAGTTCAGATTTAAAGGAAAAATGTCACAATTATTCAAAAAAATATTCAAAGCATCCTTTCTTAGTGTATATTGATTTTTGTTTAAATCATACTTTCTACTTTTGGGAGTAGGTCAGTACTTATGCATTTATGTTTTAAAATACTCAAGGGAATATAGCTTTTTTTCTTGCAACAGTGCTCAAGAGAGCGTTGCAGTGTTTGGCTTCTTGTTTCATAAGGTTTCTATATGACGTCGAGCTATATGAGTGAAAAATGTTCGAATGGGACGTAAATAAACACAATCAATCAATCCACAGACTAAATAATGTTTTCGACGTTTGTTTTGTTAAACGTTCCTATCGAAAATATTTCACTCATATGGAGACGCCACCACTTGCCGGATGAGAGCTAAAAATTCAAACAAATTCAAGCACCTTTAGGGCCATTGAACAGTGAAGGGTCTTCTGTTGAATAAAGTTGAAAAGAAAGGCCGAACAATTGACATGAAATATATGACGAAAAGGTTTTATTGGTTGACACTGATATTATAAAGGCCACAGAATTACAAAATACTAATACTTTAAGAGTCAATTGAACTCCCTCTGGAATCAACTTATTTAAGATAAGTGATTTATGGTCCTCATTATTGACTACATATACGTTACCAGTGATGACCTGTACAGTAAACGGTGTGAGATCCAACCGTAAGTTAGAAACGTTTTTCTGAAAATAATGTTAAAACCATTTTTTCCCTCTAAAACAATCAACAAACAAAATAAAAACATGAAACAAACAAATACAATGTGCTTTTATTGCCAAAACATATTACAATTCCCAACCGGCGAAAGATGAATACGTGGCTGCAACGTACGCAGAAGAAGAATCCGAGTAGATTGACACCTTGTCGTATTTGTTCAGGCTAAGGACAACCGTTGTTGAACAGGAATCGGAGTAGGACGATGTTCCCGTGTAACAATAACTTTGTTGTTTTATACTGCCGTTTACCCGAATACTGGTGTATGCCTTATTTCCGCTGGAGACGGTACGAATAGACCAACTGAACACGTACATTCCAGAATGTGGGGCTTGGAAATACTTGCTGTTCTTAAAAGCGTACCCTTGGTTCGTAATGACGTACGGAAAGGATACGATATTTCCACTACTGTATGCCAAGTTACTGGAAGTCCTTGCAGAAAATGCAATACGTGCACTGCTACCTGAAAGCATAGTTTGTCAGAAAAATCAATCTCAAACTTTCCTTTTCATTATATCCTAAATAATCAACAACAATCTTTTTATTAAAAAGTATGGACTTTGATTAAAACCTCTTATGTTGTATTTTTTTGCCAAATTCAACCCATACTGCAGAGAGTTCGCTTGCTGTGCAAGGTGTTGCATTAAGGTGTACCCTTGTACTCTTTGCAGATCAAGCTGACTGCCAAAGAATATGACACAGAATAAAGTGATATATGTTGATGTCATCCTAAAAAAGAACTTAACCTTATTAGTGTTGATAGATTATTGACTGTCTTTTCCTGGTTGATATTGCGATTTAAACTATTTAATGAATTTGACCAAAAAAAGAATGAAATACAAAAAACTACCTTGAATGCAACCGTTGTGGATTGATATGAATTGATTTTGTTATAGTTGGGTTTACTTATAATAATCATTTCGGGCCTGAAAACACGGAATGGTGCAAATGTTTCAACATGCAACATCTGCTGCACGCACATTTGACAACTGTGCTTAGAATTATTGACTTAGACAATTCAAATGAAACTGACTTCATAGGTAGGAAAATAATTACATGTACATAATTATATGCTATTTCAATTAATTTGTTGAAACGTAATTTGGAATAAAAAAGTTAATTCAGAATTTAGGAAAAATTAAAGAAAGGAAAAAATTGGTATTTATTTAAAGGCGTTATAAAAGTATAGGAAACTACCGGTAACGCGAGTAAAACCAACAAGTCACAGAATTATGTTTCCATTTTTTTTCAGAATGTGCATCCTTTTTTCTTTTCTGACAAATACATGTACCCCTTTACTGACCACTTAAATTCAATTAAAATTTACATGAAAGCATGAGCCCAGATAAGTAAATAATCAAAAAAAAAAAAAATGAAATCATTATATTTATTTCTGCATATATATCAATTATAGTTGAAAATATGGAAATAAATTAATCGTAAGCATATTGGTCTTGTTTAGTAAAGTTTACAGGAAATATTTGTTAAAGAATATTTTACAGAAAGTTGGGTGGAAGTATTGCTACAAAAGGAAAGGTAAAGAAGAATGAAAATTGTCAGAATTTAACCTCAACATACATCTGATAAATGTTTGTTTTACTACTTTAATTTAAAAAGAAAGAAAAGGAAGATCCACTGCACCTGTGAATTTTTTCTGGTGTTACTAAGTTGATACAAAGTACATGAATGTAAAATGATCATTTTTGGAGAACCAGAAAAAGCATGCATATAATAAAATTAAAATCTAAACACTCACTCTACGCATACACTAAGTCACAGATAATTTTAGATATATGAATGTCTATGTTATTTTACCGTTTTGTATCAGTAGTTTTTTTTTTAATTATCGTTTAAACATTTCTGGGAAATTAATAACATAAGAAGAGGATACAAAGTTACATTGAAGGGGTACTTGGAGGATGTACACGACGCAGACTGTTTTAGAAATTATATATTTCTTTAACATGGAACACGTATTCAACAGAAAATTAACAGAAATACTGTTTCAGAATTTTATCATTTTATCAACTCAACTTCAATTGATTCATTTCATTAAATGATCATTGCACATGTCTTACAACTCTTTTCTTTATGCTATTTTCATTTTTGTCATGGTCATGCCGGATACTTTATAATGTGATTAGTAAAATCTCCTTGTATAAATCGTTTACAAAGGAGAATCATAGAAAGTGAAGAGGGTATGAGAGATGGCAGAGTTTCTTTTAAACTCTTCGTTTCATAAAAAGTTCATGTAATCTCAAGTATTGATGTCCATATCAGAATCTCATGGGGTTTATATTTTGTAGTTCTGTCTTTTGACATTTGGACAATTTTATCGATTTATTTTCTTTACATCCATCACTTATTCATTTTTATTATTTACAACCATGAAATGATCTTTCCTCCAGTCTGTCCGAAAGGAATAAAATAATAATGGATTCTCAAGTTACAGAGAATGTCCGTTGAGACAAGTTCATTCAGCTGGTGCTTTTCGAAAAGATATTCGGATACTAGGTGCCACTTTATACCACGTACTCTAAAGAGCAATCAATTTAAAATAGATCTTTAAAGACTTCGAACAAATAAAAGTTCAGTTTTTTTGTAACTTAACATAATCAAGCACACAGGATCTGTACAATTCACAGTTTTTAAACAGTAAAATCAAATAGTTAGCAGGTACCGTTGATATACACGCATTTCACCACTTTGCCTTTGTTATAATGTTCAAGAGAATATACTCTGATTGCCAAAAGCAGAAAATATTAAATATGCCATAATAATTGCTTATATCTAACTCATTTATCTCAGAACTAAATGAATTCTCTCTTGGTTACCTTAGAGACTTTTATCATATCTATGCATAAAAAAAAGATAACAATTCTGAATTATAACAGAGCCATTTTATTTGTTTTATTTTTTGCAAATGTTACAATTCCCATCCGGCAAATGAAGAATAATATGATGCAATATAGGCTTTCGATGCATCGGAGTATATGCCAACATTGTCGCCTCTATTGAGTGACAGAACAACGGTATTGGAACATGAATCAGCATACGAAGTTGTCCCAGTGTAACATAAACTCTTTTGTCTGATGTATCCATTTACCCGGATACTTGTGTAGGCAACATGAGAAGAATATGTTCGGAGAGACCAGCTAAACGCAAACAGTCCAGAATGAGGTGCACTGAAGTATTGTCCATTTTTCAGACAAAGACCCTGGTTTGTGTAGACGTAGGAAAACTTTATAATGTTTCCACTCGAGTAGTAATAATTTCCAGAAGTTCTGGCAGAAAAGGCAACTTTTACACCAGTACCTACAACATAATAATGTAGGAGAAATTATAAAAAATATCCATTTGCTTAGAAATTTATTGCATGGCTGTTGGCTACTATTTAACATGTTTGATATATGATACTTTATTTTTAGACATATTAACTTGATTACCTCCATATCTATGGTTGTATTTATTCGCCAAATTCAACCCATATTGGAGATTAGAGGCTTGTCTTGAGAGATGCTGCATTAACGTGTATCCACGCACGGTTTGGAAATCCATTTGGTAGGCCACCAGGATGACAAAAATGTAGAACAAACCACTCATTGTTTTCACCTTAATCTAAAAGAGAAATTATTGAATTTTTTTCTGCTTTATGTTTGGGGTACAGAGCATTACATAATTTCTCTTTGTGATAAAAATAGATTAATGAATGATTTTAATAAAACACATGAAAGAAACCAGGTTAATATGTTACAATCATATACAAGAAATATTACCTCTTGTTTTGTATATTGTAATCTCTAGATAAGCAGAGTTCAAATCCTTGCTTGGAAAGCTCTAGCTTTCAACAATATCTTAGAACAAATTTTATTGTTCGTTTGCATGAGTTATACTGAAAATTGATTGTGTATTGGATACTTTACAAGATTGTATGTCACGCAGCAGACATGCAATTATGGTGCAACATAAGTTATTGACAACATAGCTTAGGAAAAATAAACATATGTAAAAATTTATAAGATTTATACTTACCAATGATAAAAATGAAAGACAAAAAATTGAAGGCATGATGCCAATAATATAATATTATTGGTTTTACATACTACATGTAAATTATTTATTCAATAATTCGTCACAAGATGGAATAATTCGAAATGTATTGTCAAATCTTTCTTTCATTTAAAAAATCAAGATAATTATTACAGATTAGAGTACAATTTCACAAACTATGTTAAATTCAGATTATCTTATGTGTAATTTTTGCAGCATTTCACTTAAATTAAGATTTTTATTTAAATAGTAATCAATTGATCTCCCCCCCTTCCGGATTTTCTTGAAATGTTTGCTGAGTAATGTAGAAAATGGAGTGTAGTTTTAGTGATTGATTTTTATACTTCGAATTACAGTGAAACCTGCCTTATCCGACATGCACTGGGAGACAAATTTTTTGTCGGAATAGACGAGATGTCGGATTGCACAGTGTTAAAAACAAGGAAAATAATATAATGGGAAAGAAATTTAACGTCGGAATTCACAGTGTGTCGGATTATTCAGGTGTCGGATTAGACAGTTTTCACTGTATTTATATTTTATTATTTGTTTCCTTGCAAAAAAAAAACAAACAGCATCTTTAACGGTTATTATAGTTGAGACAAGAAATATGAAAACAAAAGAAGTTTCGTGTAAATTTGCTTTCTTAAAGTTTGCATCCGTTTTATATTCCCATGATAAAGAGACCAATAAAAGCGATATTTCAAGCATTACAGAATGGAGCTATTTGAAAATTTTACTTATTAGTTACTGCCTAAAAGGTACTTGGACACAGATTTGAAGTTATTATTTTCTCTATAATATTACGGCTTATATATTTTAATAGCATTTCTCACAAAAATTAATTAAAAATCTTATTTCATATAAAAGATATTAAAATTTCATTTTTTTGGCGGCTTTGATTGACACATCCTTGCACTTTCACAAATTTAATTTTATTCTTAATCTTTAGGAAAAAGTGGCAATCTTGTTGAGTATAAATGAAAAATATTAATACTATAATCCAGAAAATTCAGAGTAGACATGTTCGAAAGCAAAACAAACACGCAATATATTGTCAGCCCGTGCAGTTGTGGTAAGCAGACTGTGACGTTTGAACGCACCCGTAGAATTATAAACACCAACAATAACAGAACTCGTGCCCTCTTTACAAAAACTGTGTACATAACACGAGTGTGCTCGATTTGCTAAACTCTGTACGCAACTCTTAGTTCGGAATGACGATACTTGTGAAGGAGTTTTAATTGCTTTCTAACATTTTTACTTTGAATAAAATCATTTTTCTGGATAAAAGTTTTGATATTTCTCATTAATACACAACAAGATTGCCACTTTCCCTAAGGATTAAGACTCAGGTTAAAATTTGTGAAAGTGCAAGGATGTGTTAATCAAACCCGCCAAAAAATTTAAAGTTTTAATAACTTTGAAATGAAATAATATTTTTAATTAATTTTTGTGTGAAATGCTATTAAAATATATAAGTCGTAATATTATAGAGAAAATATTGACTTCAAATCTGTATCCAAGTACCTTTAATTATTTACTTTCCTGAGTTTGACATTACATGTATGTCTTAATAAAATAATAGAGACAAAAAAGAAAAGTACCACTATGAATATTTTTAAATTTTAAAATCTCGCTTATGACGTTGCATACATATTAAGTACAGTAAACAAGAGCACCGCTTAGTGGAGCATTCTCGTGCAGCCGGAACAACACCGCTAATGACAATGTCATCATACCAAAGAAAAATTCTCAAGGGAAACAAGCATCCAGTATTACAATGTACTACAGAATGTGAAAGTTCAATTAAGGTAAAGGAAATAAAAGATATTGCAAAACTAATTTTCACCAAAAGTCTACGGTGATGTCATTCTGAGGGTGTGGTCCATTTAAAAAAAAGATCAGGTGCATAGCATCTGGGGGTGGGGTGTTGAGGGATAACAGGCAAACGTTATGGGCAGTGTCCCTTTTTCATAGCAGAAACAGTATGTTTGTGTTTGTGAATATAATGAAATACTGTAAACCAACTTTTATTTGCAACGAGTTTATTTCACGATTTTATGAGAGTAAACTAGTTCGTGACGACTAAATTTCGCGACAAAGCCCTTTTATATTCTGTTGTTAATAGAAAAAGAGACTTTAATGATCGGCTCACGAAGAGAAATATTCGCGATGATGAGGCTCTCGCAAAACTTGCGAAAATTTCTCGCATGCGAATTAAAGTTGGTTCACAGTATATGGAGATAAAACAATACATATCAGAGCATACATGTACATGGACTTCTGAAAGACCTGAGTTTGGATAAGGTGTCATGTAAGAGTTAGCATCACCTGCTGACCGGTCACATCCGCAAAAATAACTTAATTGATAAAATGTCGTCATGACATCAAAACGTCTAATTGAGGGCAACAATAAATATTTTCTTCTCTCTTGCATAAAGCTTTGAATAAATTTTGATTTTTCTTCAAATAAACAAGAATAGTTCTACCTCAAACTGGGCATTATTGGAACCTATGCGGCAGATTTTTTCAGGATCTCGTTTCCACATACATGTATTTACATAGATATTGTCAATCAGAAACTCAATCAATATCTTCAACCTCATAAATATCATAAAGTTGCCTAACCTTGGAATTCAATATGTGAAGAATAATAAGTGACAGCACCAGTAAAATTTGGAAAGTAAAAACGATAAAGCAAATATATATTAAAAATGAAGATGGACTACTTTTTGCTATCTTTGTCTTTTACAATGCTTGCCCGTTTGTGTGTTTATTTCTTTAAAACAAGATTTTTAAAAAAAAAAATACAGAATAACATACGTTAGTAAACATCAGATGTAACTTTGTAAACGTACCTTTAAGCGTCATATTGTAAACCATACTGCTGCTACCATGCACGATTCACTTCCCAAACAAAACTGCCATATTTTCTCAATATGTCGCAAGATTTCACCGTAAACTTATTTTCATTATGACTGTAAAATTGCTTTTAAAATATTTGGGGAAATTGGCTTTAAATTTTAAAATTGTTCGGGGGTGCATACATCTTCAAGAACAAGATTTCTATTTTTGTAACAATGCTCATTCTTAGGTTAAAGCCTTCACAGGACTAGATTTTTTTTAAATAGGCTTGCTATTTAAATTGATTATTTTTTGAAAAAGAGAGGTATTTTATCAACTTTTATACGTTAGAATTTCATTTTTTCAATAAAGAGTAAAAATTCAAATTGTCTGATTTCTTTATATTTACACTAATATAATTACATTTTTAAAAAATTTGTTTTGCATATTCAAAAATTTTTCTCATGTTGATTTTTCAATTATACATCTATAATTCTAAAAATAAATTGGAAAAACATCATACATGTAGCTACATTGTGTTGCATCGTTTTTGTATGTAAATGACAATTAGAAAATACAGAAAAGAAAGACTTATGTTAGAATAAATGTGTCCAATTAGAAATTTCATGCATTTCCTGAAGTTTAGGAAATATATATATTAAATTCCTATTCTGTTTAGGGAGTACACATATTTACTGATTTCAGCACTAGAAAAATAGGCGTATTTACCAACGGTGTTTTGGTAAGATTATTTAATATATAAATAATAAATTATGTACATATGCACAATATATTCAATATGAATATCAGTTAGTATATATGTAAATAGATAATCTTTGAAATTTATTTTAAAATAATAATGCATTATTGGTTGATATTTCAAAAAAAGGACACACTGCTTTAATTTTTGGAATGAGTTGTCTATATCACAATATAAATGTACTTTAACATAGTTATTTGTATGATTTTAATTTTCAAAAAATTAAATCGCTTACTGAAATTTCTTAATTCTTTCTTAATTTTATTTCATTTCTTATTATCCCATCACATATCAAAGTAGAGTGTCTTAGTGCCAGCGCTAAGGTTCTAGATTCCCCAAGCTTCCAGAATTACGGAACAGATATACAATTCATCACAGAAAAGGACATTTTTCCTTTGAACAATCTCTCATTATAAGCTACATAATATGCTTACGTTTATCATGCTTTAACACGATAACACAAAACCAGCTTGTTTCTAATGTTTCAAGTATGTTTACTAAAAGCCATTTTTCTAATAAATTTTCTATGTTCTCTTTTTCTTATTTATAAATAATAAAACCCTAACGTGAATAACTTATTTGGGTAAATGATAGAAAACGGAGTTGTTCATGAATTTCTAATTCGTCTTCCGTATATCTTTTTTTTTAAATCTGTGAAGTATAAAATTATATATTGAAAGAAAATTAAGTGAAGAAAATACTATATACAAGAACTTGGAGTAATTTACAATAAAGGAAAGAAAACTGAACAAAAAATCCATTATATGGAATATTTTAGACTAAAGAACAGTTAATATACTTTTATATGTTTCAAGGTTTATTTAAAAGAAGTTATGTTACAGTATTGACCTATTTGTTGAGAAGCTTATACAATCATTTCGTCAAAGTAAAATCAACGAATGAAATAATATCGCTACTCAAAAAGGTATACTTTGCACTTGCCAATTCTTTAAAATAGCGTAAAATAGAGGTAGTAGTATTAATAACGTTACATTGATATCTTATGATAATAATTATATTTTGGTTAACATTCTGAGTAGAAATATACTATACCATATAAACCATATAAAAAGTATTCAGAAAAATATAGTTTAGCATACATTTCTCTTTATTTCATGAGCGATTATGACAGAATTAAGGACATTTTGACAGATTAGACAAATGATTGCACAATTTTAACTTCGGGTCCCATCCTGTATTTTTCTGACATACCATCGATGTTGCCGTTCCATAAGAACATATGTAGTACTTGGTACAGTTCTTTGGGTCTGGAAACTCTCCAAAGGTACTTGGACAAGAAAACGCCTTTGAATCTATGAAAATATCAATAGTAATAACTATTTATTTATTAGGAAGGTCATGAATTGAATTGAATTGATTTGACTTGGAATTTATTATAATTTTCTGCACCAATATTCTTGCAAAGCTATAAAACTGTAAATCTGAGGCATTAGAAATTCTGATATTTAGATTTTTTGGGCGTTTTGATAATTTTTTCTACTCACGCTAGTTAAAAAAAAAGCATAACATAGAATCTATTGCATAAACTTATTGAAGCAAATATTTAAAACAGTAGGAAAAAAATATGGTACTCTAGGATTTTACAACCGCTTCAATTCAATGTTTGTCTTTCTGGTAGATCTACACAAAATTCAATGAAAAGTAGTCTTTGATTTAAGATTTTTAGAATATAATTTTTGAAATCATTATTGTATTTGAATATCCAAACCTCCTTACATGTTACGTCCACATAGAAATAAACATGAAATACATAAAATATAACATATTCATCACCCTTATCATCTTGTAATTTACATCTCACTTCCGCGGCATCTGCACATGTGGAATTCTTTTGGTGCCATGCAGTTCCGTAAGGACAAGTCATATTCATTTGATATCCATGTACACAAGCCTGATACATTGTGCAGTCAGTAGGATGAGGACTTAAAGATCCATGGACACAACCTAAAATAGACAATGAAAATGGTCAGTAGCAGACTTGCAGTAATAGGATAAACGTATTATATAAAACATTAAGTCTTCCTTGTTTTGTGGCTCAATTACAGAAGATTAAAAGAAAAAAAGTGTTTTGTATGTTTTCGCAACAAGCACATGCTATTGCCTCAAGAAATTAAAATCATAGGTGACTGCGAATATCAGAAAATCATATTTTCAAATAGTATAGTATATAAGGTATTTTGACTTACTTTTACTTTTTCCATAAGTAAGGTTGCTAAATAGGCTTAGAATCAGTAACACAAAGGCTAACATGTTCATAACAGAATGAACTATTGCACACTGCCTGGCAACTTTTATTTATTCAATTTAATTGAATTACAACAATGTAACATCTGTATATTTAATAGCAAAGGAAAATCACTTGAATGCATATAAATCATTAAAGATGTCAAGGCAAGTGCATGTTTTCTCTCTTTGAATAAATATATAATAAAACTTCTGCCCACTTAGTAGGAAGAAACATATGTTTAATATCTAATGTAAACAAATGCACTACAAAAGCTTATGCAATGTTTAGTGTTGGTCATAATAAACATACATGTAAGGCTTTATTATGAGTTCAAATCAACATAGATGGTTGAGAATTACTCATTCAAATGTGCCATGATTTTGACAGTTGGAAACTTATCATCAATCTTGCATACGTTTTTATATGACACAAGCTAGAATATTATTATCAAATATGAAATCGTCATTGTTTTTATGTACTTCTTTCTTTCCAGAATGTTTGAATTGCGATCAGTTTTACACAGAAGTCCAACAATACACAAATAAAGAGCAGGACGAGCACCGACCTCTGAACACAGCAGAGGTAGCATCAATTGTGATGAAGAAATTTCAGTATAAAAATGACTTTCCAGTAAAATAATCCACTTACTTTTAAAGCATGAAAAAATGTATTAAAGTATGCTATTTTTCTTGTTAAATCAATTATTATGCTATTCCATTAAACATTTTGCATCTATTTAAAAACTTTTTTGAGTATCGTAAATAAAATATCAGGTGCAGTTCTCTGTAATATTTTAGTTCTTGATATTTTTGTCCCTAATAACGAATTAAAATGAGCTAAATTAATTGTCCCCTATCTTCACTCAGTGCAACGGCTTGAGGTTTGCAATAAAGTCGTAAATTGGGGAGGAGATCGTTACTTGGCATGTTTTATTCCACTCTGTGACATGTAGACAAGTCCTTCTGATGAAATAGTTTGGACCAAAGACCCGTTTTGCAGTAGATGTTAGAAATAGCGAGACTCCTCACTGCCCGGTGGCAGTACAGGTATCAAGTACAACTGTAAAAATGTACAGCGTACCATCGAAAAATGGGACACCAACAAAGAAATTGACACAGTTAGTGAAAGTAATATTCCTGATTACATGTATAAAAGTGCCAAGTCTTGCATTCCTTGATAGTTCAAGTGATCTCCACATTTTGTATTTCTAGCTAGAAAATATAAACTACAATTTTTTAGTACACGGAAACTCTGCAGGACCTAAAACAAAAATCTGAAATATAATCCTCTGGACAGTATGTTCGTGTTCATGTTCCTCTTCACCTTACAATGTAAAAAAAGACACGAACTATGATCGAGCTAAACAAAATCAATGTTTATATTTATTTTAAAAATATGAAAAAGATCGTAAGTGCCGAGTAAAGGCACTTAATTAATATATCATTCCACGGGTTGATCCAAAAGTAATGTCACAGTGTCCAAATCTTTTATATTTGGCGTCATATTATCAAAATTAATACAATATACCAAAAGATGCACAAATATAAATCTAAATAAAGTTGAAATTTTAATTCAGTAATGTTTATTTGAATTTATTTTATACACGTTTAAAACATAGAGCATAGGGGATGTCGCCGCGTCACAACAGAAGGTCACGGTTTTAAGTGTTATTTTTTTCTTAGAATGAAAAAGATAAGCAAATTAAAAAGATTCTAAAAAAAAACAACACCTAATCTCCCAATTTTTTAAAAGACACAATTCTCGTCATCTTCTAGTCTTCAATTGAAAATTAAATGACGGCATTGGTACTGTGATCATAAAAATTGTTATTTTACTCTTTTGAATTGAACAAAAAGGGATTGTCAAAATGGTGAAAAAAAAAAAGGCTAGACGAGTTGTAATGCATTTCTGCTTCAAAATATGGGAATCATCACAAGCGACAGTTTCGGTATTAATCAGACTTAAAGAATGAAGAATGTAAATAAGAGACATTTTTATAGATGGTTTCAGCAATTTTGGGCGGGTGATTGGTCACTGAATGATCAACAGAGGACAAAAAGATCGAAAGATGGGAGATGGGCCGAAAACGTTCAATGGTGTGTGACATCGTCAAAAAGGACAGACGTATAGAGTGGCATGTGAATATTTAAGCTTGTCTTATGCTACTGTTTAAATAATTTTGTCAGAGGGGTAAAATATGAAAAGAGTAAGTGTATAATGGTACCAAGAATTCTTAAAGAAAGTGGAATTAGTGAAAGTGTTTGCGAATCAGAAATATTTTTTTTAAATGAAACGAAGGGGAAACGCTTAAAAGCATGACGGTTTTCCGTCATATGACGTTATATTTAGGTGCGGCGACTACCATAAACGCACGTTGTTTAAAATCCGATATCTAGGAACTTATAAACCATATTCCATTTATTTTTTCAGGTCTAATTTGAAATAAATAAAGCTTTCATCATGTGTAATTTTGTTGCTCTACGTCGATTTATAGCAATTTTTCAAAGTTGTGACATTACTTTGGATCAACTCTCGTATATGTCTTAAAGTTTAAAGAAAAGAACTCACCTCTTATATATGCCGATTTTATTCATTTTTGTATCAATTTAATATTAATTAAAATGAAAAGCAATTTTATCTGCATTTTTTTTCATAATTTGTTTGATAAAAATGTTAAACTTTTATGATCAATTAGACTGAAACAAAGAATAATTATTAACTGGCCGGAAACTCTTCGATAATAAGAATTTTTATTGTGTTAAACTCTATATGAACATCTGTTTTTGTTAGTTTTGAAAGTTGCATAAAAAGTAATCGCATATCAGTAATTGTATATAAACAATTACGCTTTCTTGAAAACGACACAAGCTTCAACAATTATACATGTACTATAGCCAATATTGCAAATAGAACTGAACGATTTCTTTTTGGCTTTGTTCATGTTATAAGTCGATGATGACAGCTTTCTCATTAAAAAAGTATTTTTTATATGTAATTTTTAAAAGAAAATATAATTAGTAAATATTAATATATATCCTTGTAAAGTATGAAAAGTACAAACTATATTGGAATTTTCTGTATCTAAAGCTGAGCTCAATTATTGTTGATTTTATTTTGGTAAAACTTAAATAGTCCAGGTGACAAGCTTACATGTAGCTATCTTTAAAAGCTAATAATCTTTTATTATTTGGCTTTTAAATGCATCTTTGAATTTAAAATGTTTTGAATTAAGCGAAGAAATCGATGTTTTTATTTTTTTATATACGTGGTACATATTGCCCTTTTGACCAATTACCCCCCCCCCTCTCTCTCTCTCTCTCTCATTATCTACTTGAATTAGAAATCTTGTATATTGTACACAATTGTTTTCAAAATTCCCAAGAATTAATTTTAAATGAAGCTCTTGTATATATATATATATATATATATATATATATATATATATATATATATATATATATATATATATATATATATATATATATATATATATATATATATATATATATATATATATATTAAAGAATGGAAAATAGTTGATAATGTGATTTTAAAAATAATATCTCTTTTTTGATCAATCTTGATGAGAGACTCAAAGAACAAACCATGTAAAACTGACGAGTTTATGTACATGTAATATGCGTAAGCAGATATTTTTTATTTTCTTTAAATTCAATATATTGATTTGCATGTTTGTACAACGGCTTGTGATCTTAATGAGAGTTTTGCATGAGAACAAATGTGAAGTTGTACCATCTTGATGATCACTCTGTTCACGGTTGAGCTGTGTTGTTTCTATCGTGTGAATAGCTTGTCAACGTCTTTTAAAAAGGTAAAATTACATCTTATTTTTCTTAAACAGTTTCCATTTCAAAATCTAATACATAATGATAATATATAACCAAAACATATATATAAACAAAAAAATAAAACCTGATTAAACACGAAGTAAAATAAAGAAATATGAATTTGAAAATTAAAAAAAATATATAAACATCATAGTTTTTAATCTTTAATTTATATAGAATAGGTTTAATTGCATTTAAACCACGCAGCTTTACAGCTTTCAGAAGGCTTTCGTTTTTATTGAAGATAAAAAAAAATAATTTATTCTCATAATTATTATTAAATCAAACAAAAACATACTATTCATTGTACTTTCTGGTAAAAATATATAAGCTATAACCACAAAAAAACAGATTTATGAAAGATGCATCAATTCTTAGCATTGAATGTTTATCTATTTTAAAAACAATCTTTTAAGTAAAGGATGTTGACGGTCAGATCTTTGATTGTCACCTGCATGATTTGCATAATTGTAAATCAAGTCGAAAGTACATGCCGGAACTACTGTGATAACCCCAAGACCGGTAAAGGAAAACGCCCTTGTTCTTCTACACAAACAAGACAAGGAACCAGTTACCATTCTTTTGGTCTTCTATGGTCTAGTCAGTGTGCAAAAGGAAGGTTAGTATTTTATGTATAAGCTACTTCGACATTCTAATAAATTACACACTTTGAAATATATATCTAAATGACATAAATGAATTGAATGTATATTTTGATGTACTGTTTTCAGCTACCTTAGCTACTCTAAGGCGTATAAATGCTGTGACATAACTTGTCCAGGTAAGATAAGAAAAGGGTGTGAGTGGAATACGGGCGTAATGTACTGGATATTAAAAAATTCGACATTTACTTTCTTTAAAGTTAAGCATTCAATAAAATAGTGGGTTTTTATGTTTTACTTCCATTCGAAATAAGCAAGAATATGGCAGAATACAAAATATGTTTACTTTAAAACAAAAATATTTTTCGCACAGTCATAAATATATTAAGCAAATAAAAAAAATACGATAGAAATACATAATAAAATCATTATATATCTAAAACTATCATTTAAGTGTATTTTATTTCCCAATATTGCACATTTAGTGGACGATGGGAACAATGGAGCAGCTGGTCAATGTCCAACTTCTGTACAAAGACATGTGGAGGAGATGTTCAAACCTGCCAAAGAACACGAGAGTGTAATAAATCTACACCAAAATATGAAGGAAGACATTGTTATATATCTAACCAGAAGTCTCTGTCGAGACTGAAGCTCTACTGGTTTGAACTTATAGCAAAGGAAGAGAAGAGTACTTAAGCAGCTGGGATTTGAAACTTTACAACAGCAATATATAGAATAATGATCGTTGATAAAGTCTCTTTATGTTCTTAGTGTAGTCTACTTGTGTGCCAAGTTATATTGAAATCAGACCAAAACTGTAGGAGGAGTAGCATTTTGAAACAATTTTACAGATATTTCTATTTTTAGTAACCACGGCAACACCGTTCATCTAAATCAAAAACCGATACACAGAATTATGTATTTTAGTGTAGTCTACTTGTGTGCCAAATTATATTGAAATCAGACCAAAACTGTAGGAGAAGTAGCATTTTGAAAGAATTTCACAGAAATTTCTATTTTTAGTAACCACGGCAACACCGTTCATCAAAATCAAAAACCGATACACAGAATTATGTATCTTAGTGTATTCTACTTGTGTGCCAAGTTATACTGAAATCGGACCAAAACTGTAGGAGGAGTAGCATTTTGAAAGAATTTCACAGAAATTTCTATTTTTAGTAACCACGGCAACACCGTTCATCGAAATCAAAAACCGATATACAGAATTATGTATCTTAGTGTATTCTACTTGTGTGCCAAGTTATACTGAAATCAGACCAAAACTGTAGGAGGAGTAGCATTTTGAAAGAATTTCACAGAAATTTCTATTTTTAGTAACCACGGCAACACCGTTCATCGAAATCAAAAACCGATACACAGAATTATGTATCTTAGTGTATTCTACTTGTGTGCCAAGTTATACTGAAATCAGACCAAAACTGTAGGAGGAGTAGCATTTTGAAAGAATTTCACAGAAATTTCTATTTTTAGTAACCACGGCAACACCGTTCATCGAAATCAAAAACCGATACACAGAATTATGTATCTTAGTGTAGTCTACTTGTGTGCCAAGTTATTTTGAAATTAGACCAAAACTGTAGGAGGAGTAGCATTTTGAAAAATTGTTTACAGACAGACGGACAGACAGACAGACGGACAGACGGACGGACGCCGGACGCATTACTATCGCATAAGCTCTTCTGGTCTCTGACCAGTAGAGCTAAAAATATCATTTAAGTGTATTTTATTTCCCAATATTGCGCATTTAATGGACGATGGGAACAATGGAGCAGCTGGTCAATGTTCAACTTCTGTACAAAGACATGTGGAAGAGTTGTTCAAACCTACCAAAGAACACGAGAGTGTAATAACCCTACACCAAAATATGAAGGAAGACATTGTTATGGATCAAAGACTGATTATAAGCATAATAGCTCTTTCATCAAAAAATGTCCAGGTTTGGAAAAATTCATAATTAATGATATCATTTTTTGTTCGTTTGTCTTTTCAAAATAATTTTTTTATGCAAAGCTTTAAAAGGAAAATGACATTCTAAAGAAAATAGTAAAGATATATTACATACATATGTACTAGAAGACTAATATCATAATCGTGGATCATTTAAAAGACATTATCTACATGTATTTATACAAAACATATCTTAAGATTATCTAAGAAATATTAAATCTAAAATTCCATGTCATTGTCGGTTAATCCGAGGCATGGAAGAAAAGTCCTGAGTTAGTTGGTGCTATTGTAAATATCTGTATGCCGAACAAAACAAGTTACATGTAGTCTCACATCTTTAACACATAATAAACCTTATTGAAGTCAATGGTGTTTGGGAGAACTGGAGCACTTGGGCTTCCCATGATTAGTGCTCTGTTATCTGTGGAAAAGGTGTCTTATTAGAAAGTCGATCAGGTTCCTGCAATGTTCCAAAGTACGGAGGAAAAGATTTTAATGGATAGAAAACGGAAACAAGAAAATGTGCTTGCAATAAAGGATTTTGTCCGGGTATTTGTTTTTTTATTGATATTAAACAGTAAACCCATTATGTAAAATTTATTCATATGTTGTATGTGCTTAGAATGAAAATAAAATCAAAACAATAAGCTGAAGAGTATATATTTTAGTGAATGGTGCTTGGTCCTCTTGGGGTGAATGGGAAAAAGCTGGGAAATGCTATGTCACATGTGTCACATGTCAGACCATTGCCGAAGCAACAGATGGTACGAGATTCGGTTTATTGATCCATGGGCAAGGAAGAGAAGACGGATATGGCTACGCTGGAAACGTTGTCCGTCCGGGTATTGTTTGAAAATTGAAAATAATTTTGTTCCTTATGTTATATGGTACGTTTTAGAATAAATCCTAAAAATGCTTTCCATTTTCTGATGATGAGTGAAGAAGATTTTAATTTCATTTAAAATGACTGGTTTGAAATTTCTTAAATTCGAATGAATGTCTCAAACGAATGAATGTCTCAAAGCAGAGTGCAGACAAAAATTAGTGTACCGTATATCACCTACACAATAAAACAACATCTTATTTTAATCTAAACAATAAGCTTAGTGTAAACTTCTTCTTTATTGTCAAACTTTTACCAAAATTAAACCTTAATATAGTCTTTTAACATTTTGTGCCAGGACTTTTAACCTTGGTATGTTTATATTCTTTATGATGAAACATTCATCTTGGTCATTCAATTTTGTCCATTTCAGCCTGAACTTTACGTTTCACCCCCTATTTGTAAATCTTTATAAACTGTCATAACACTGGACGGTTGAATCTATAGACTTCATAGTCTACGTGTACATGTATACCGTTCGTGACAAGACCGTTTTTGAGTACCAACAACTTTAACCCTTTCTCAAAGATCTTAAAGTTTTACTTTCAATCTTTTGTTACGATCATTTGACTCTTAGGTTCGGGCCTGGCAATCTTTTTTTTTTTAATCAGACCATATATTTTCATGTCAATCAAAGACAGATAATTTATTTTCAACACTATCAAAAGACAGACATTCTTCTTCAAAAACAAATTAACAAAACGAAAATACAATTGTGAAATATAAAAGCACCAGCAACACCTGTTCAAAAGTTTTGGCCAAGAATAAGTTTCTAGAGGTAGGTCAAACTCCAGGGTCAAGGTCAAAATGTCAAAGTTGTTGGTTTCTAAAATATTTTTTTCACATGGGTTTCATATGAGAAGTTTGAAAAAAGTAGCCCTTACCGTTCAACAGTTTTGACTGAGGTTAAAGTTACATAAAAGTACGTAAATCTCCAACGTCAAGATCAAAAGTTCATGGTTGTTGGTATTCAAATGAAAGACCCTGTCGCAAAGAATACATATAAGAAATATGAAAGTCCTCGTATCTGCCATTTAAAAGTTATGGTCAAAGTAAAAGTTTGGATTTTTTGAAAATGTGTGTCAAACTACAAGGACAAGGTCAAAAAGTCAGAGTTGGTGGTATTCAAAGAAAGATCTTGACACAAGGAGTACATATGTGAAACATGAAAGTCGTTCGTACGCTCGTAGCTCTACTAAATCAAAACTCATGGTCAAGATTAAAATTTTTGCAGACAAACATACAGACATACAGCTAGACGGACGACGAAGGACAAAAAAAACTATATACCCCTGAATCTTCGATTACGGGTGCATAACATACAAAAAGAACAATCCCTCCGTTTTTCGTTTGAGTGTTGGGAGATACACACTTGTCAATGACGGATTATTATTAAATTTTGATAGTCGAGAAAAAATTTCCTGTTTCCTTCAGATCATATATTTTCTAAATCTACCGGGTTCTGACATCAGAATAAAATGGTCGACACTTACTAAAACTTTAATTTTAGTCAAAAGGGCTTTTACCTTTTGTATTCCTCAAATGTATTTGTTGTGACATGATTTTACATGCCGTCTGCCCATAGAGTAATTTTGTGCATTAAAATGTTCAATGCTTGTCCTAATTTACATAATACATTAAATGTAATAAATTCTATCATCACAATTGATCATATTAATTATATTTAATGAATAAATATAGCAAATATATCGAAAAAATCATTAGAAAAATACATATCTAATTTTAGCTTAATATAAATATTTTATGCAAGAAAAATAACAAAAATTTTGAGTGCAAATGCGAAGTAATTTGAAACAGTTTTGCTGTCAGGAATTTTAATGTGATTATTCAAGTTTTGAAATAAAAGGCTGTGTTTTTTCCAATAATTTATTTTCATAAACAAATATTAGTCGAAAAACTTTGAAAAATTGATTTATGTGTTAGACGTAATTACACAGGGTTCGACACTAACGGTAGCCCGCTGGTCTGGACAACTGAATATTGAGGTCGGACTACTAAACATGCCTTTAAACTTGCCTTGCAGGACTACTAAGAATTTTACCAAATACTCACTCATGAGAAAGTGAAATTATTATCAAGTTACCTGATAATTGTTAAATCTATTTTCAAACATGTTTTATCAAAATAATTATTATTTTTGTAAGTCAAAATGAAAACTTTAAAGGTGATTCGAAATACCATAAATGATTATAAATGTTGACTTTTTAAAATAGAAAAATGTCGTAGAGTGACATATAATTTTTACCCAAAATACAGCCAGAATGCAGGATTTGGCATCTCTATTTTCAAAATTTCCCGGGTGAGGCCCGTAACCCCACCAGCAGGAGGGGAAACCTCCTCCCGCACCTACCCCTCTCGCCGCTTCTCGACTCGGCCATCAGCGTTTGGCTGTGAACAGGGAAAGTAGAAATTAGAAATGGCTAGCCCCGCTGACAACTATGGTCTTAAAGTTAGTGTCGATCCCTGATTACAGTGCAAAAAGGTCATGTTAATTGCTCCTCATTAAATGAATAAGAGCACTGACCCCCATTTTTTTCTTAAGCTTTGTGTATATATATTAAAGAAATATACTTAACAAAAAAAATTCAAAAAGTTTTGATAACGGTATCCAACCTCCCTAATTCTATCATGAGTAGAAAAATCAACAAGAGGCCCAGGGGCCACAGCGCTCACCTGAGCACATTGGCTAGGAAAAAGCACATATCAGATCAGAACTGAAAGTTTACTGGGGGGGGGGGGGGCTTGAATTTTAACCCCCCAGGGGTTCATGATTTGAACAAACTAGAATCTACACTACCTGAAGATGTTTCCATATTAATATCACTAATCATAGCTTTGAAGTACTTGAGAAGAAGATTTTAAAAGGTTTCACTATAAATCCCTAAGTAAAACTTGGGTCGGCCATTTTGGCTCCACCCTAGCCCTGGTGGTCATGATTTGAACAAACTTGAATATACACAATCTGACAATGATTCCACGTGAGTTTCATCTCTCCTGGCCCAGTGGTTCTTGAGAAGAAGATTTTTAAAGATTTTTCCTATATCTTTCTATGTAAAACTTGGGTCGGCCATTTTGGCCCCACCCTAGCCCCGGGGGTCATGATTTGAACAAACGTGAATATACACAATCTGACAATGATTCCACATGAGTTTCATCTCTCCTGGCCCAGTGGTTCTTGAGAAGAAGATTTTTAAAGATTTTTCCTATATCTTTCTATGTAAAACTTGGGTCGGCCATTTTGGCCCCATCCTAGCCCCGGGGGTCATGATTTGAACAAACTTGAATCTACACTACCTGAGGATGATTCCACATGAGTTTCATCTTTCCTGGCCCAGTGGTTCCTGAGAAGAAGATTTTTAAAGATTTTTCCTATATCTTCCTATGTAAAACTTGGGTCGGCCATTTTGGCCCCACCCTAGCCCCGGGGTCATGATTTGAACAAACTTGAATCTACACTACCTGAGGATGATTCCAAATGAGTTTCATCTCTCCTGGCCCAGTGGTTCTTGAGAAGAAGATTTTTAAAGATTCTTCCTATATCTTCCTATGTAAAACTTGGGTCGGCCATTTTGGCCCCACCCTAGCCCCGGGGGTCATGATTTGAACAAACTTGAATCTACACTACCTGAGGATGATTCCACATGAGTTTCATCTTTCCTGGCCAAGTGGTTCCTGAGAAGAAGATTTTTAAAGATTTTTCCTATATCTTCCTATGTAA